CCCATTCCGTGATACCTCTGCAACGTAGCCACGACACAGGATTGGGATATAGCAAGTCTGCGTGCTATTACTCTCGTGGTGTATCCTTCTTCCCACAAAGTTACTATTCTAGCTCGTAAAACCTCTGATAATCCTCTTGGCATTTTTTCAATCACAACTTTCCGCGAAAAATATCTTGAATCGCTTATAATTGACTAAATCAGATTTCTGAATGAGCGTAAGCTAGGACTGAAAGCCTTTTTATATGAAAAAACAATTGAACGGGGTCATTGTTTTATGTTCTAATTTATTTTTAAATAAAGAATCTAAAAAGAAGAAAAAATCATAATATAATCTACAGTAACAAAAAATATTTCAGTTTTTCGAAGTGATCGCAAACTTTTTTTGATGTGTGTAGTTATGGAGAAAATAGTTTTTGACGTATGCATAATTTTTTTTGTTTGCTTTGTTTTGTTAGTTTTGTTAACAAAATGTTGGTTTGTTTGAAAAACCAAATAACGCGATTTAGGTTCTACAAAATAGTTTCGTTTCCTACGTGTGACAATCGCGAAAACCTCAGAAATCGACATTTAAATAAACTTTTAGTGATAAAAAAAATCCTACACTAAAACTAAAACCGTATAAACCTGTCATGTATAGTCTGAAAGTACTTCTTAAGCTGCATCTCTAAGATCCTTATGAAGCTCGTATCTTCAATAGATTCAGAGAAATAAATAATTTTTAAATTTTCGTTCTAATATTCTTTCTCGAAAATTCCGTCGTATTTGGAAGAGATATTTACATCATTATTAAGGTCTCATATTCTTCATTACCTCACAAAAAAAATCAAATCCATATCTCATGGAGCCTAGAAGATATAGCCAGTTAGTTGTAGTCTGTTTTTCAGGGTTGTCACTTTCATAAGGTACTTTTATAATGACTCCTTAAACCAGTCATTTGTTTACAAATTGTGAATTTTTAATACATTTGTCCTGATAAATATTACCAGTAATAATTTATACGATTTTCAATTGTGCTGAAGAAATTAAGTCTTATTTGCCGTCAGGTAAATAATAAAAATTTACTAGTCTCTCCTATAAGCCTTACGTTACTTCCAACTAGCTTGGGTTATTCATGAGACACGCCAACACGTATTAATCCTAACTTTAACTTACTTGACCGGCTCAAGCACCGTTAAGCACACTAGCCTAAAGCCTGACCTACTGATTCAACTTAACATGTCAAGTATTTCCACTTAAGTTTGCTTATTTGTACATTGATAATACGGTACTTACACTTTGCCAAGTAACTTAACATATTATCTTATGTTAATAAAATATTAACTTAACTAAGTATAACGGTATTACTCAAGTTAGAGATAAGTGAACTTGGGTAACGTTTGAAGTACGCTTTCGAAATTAAGTGACAGGTTTTCTTTCTTATTTTTGGCCATCATTTCCTATACAGTGACAAAAATGGTCGTAAAATAAGAATTTTTACGTTTAAAGAAATAATAAAGACGTTAATAACGTCGTATATTCTTTTTAAAATTTTCGGAACCCATAGATACGTATAAGTTTATAAAGAATTATGGCTGATGTCTTATAAGCTGTAGTAGTAAGTAACGGTTCGGTTTTATTTAATAATAATACTTTATTTCGGACCAACAACAGTTATCCATAGGTTGTTAGTAAAGAACTTAGGAATAAGGTTAGTATGATGCTATTCAAATGCTAAAATTAAAATAAAATAAGAACATGTAAAAAAAAATTATACAATTAAAATTCAAAAATATACAACCACGATTAAATCGACTCACCCGAAGAACAAAGACCTATGTGCAAGATTGCTTATTCTCAGGACATCGTACATTTTGTACGTTGTTCTTAACTGTGGATATCAAATCGACTGTTGTTCGATTTTATATTTCCGAAACGAAATGATACATAAAATTCTGAGAACACCTACAGCTAGGTCTTATTTTGAATAACGAGTTTATATATTTATCCTCTTTTCGTTGTATAATCACATCGGACTCTTTTCTTCGGATGAGTCGAAATATAAACTTATAAAGTTGAGACTGTTTAACATTGACTTACAAATAAATGGACGACGGGTCTAATACAAAAACCACGAAAAAAATGTCCCAAGTCAACCTATTTAAACGTAGTGGCATGTAAAGGAATATGAAAAAGCTAAAACGTTGAATTTAAATTGTAATGTCATCGCAGTACTGTCTAATTTTGCTTGCTTCGCTGTCAGTCGAACAAACGAAGACTAGAGCGTGAATGACGCTCTGTATACGATTTTAACGCCCTATAAGTTCGGACACTTTTTAGCGCGGACCCGACGTCCATATAATTGTAAGTCAATGTTGTTTAAACATAAAATTGAAATTAATCTAACACACTTATGTAAACTTAAACTAAACCACCACATGAAGTTTCATCCAGTGGGCCTGGATGGGGCAGTCAATTTTATCTACCACAACTTTTAGAATGCTGTTGGGGCCCACGTACCCACGTACACGTCGCCAAAGTGAGGGAACCCGCTTCCTCAGAATGTCATGAAAGCCATCTGTGCGTGTCTCAGCGAACATGCCTGAAGCGCTACAGTGTCGTGGTAACCCCAACAACATCCTAAACTAGTTGTTATATTGTACCCTCAGCGTATTTAGGGTCACCTTATTATATTTCACCCACAGGATACACGTGTAGAAGGTTTGACAGTATGCTTTAAAAAGATGTCTTTTGATTTTTGTTAACAATTTACAATGTCTGTCTTCATCATTATATTTAAGAACCAGGCTCTTATGTGTGTAGCTTCCTCCACTCCTCAACTTCAACTTTTGTATCTATGGCTCCGTCGTTTTGCGCGACGATTTCGCCAACGTCAGGGTTGAAAGACATGTAGTGCGGTGGTGAGATATATTGCCGGTTATTAAAATACTTAGGCGGTTATTAAGCACATTGACGGTTATATATATATTAATGACATTACAAAAATATGCTTCATATCCAGGCACTTAAACCTCTTTACAGCTGTTCACTTTGACGTTCTTGTTTTTTTTAATTTTTTTTTTACACACTCAGCTTTGTTTTCGTGGACGAGCAACAGGGACACTGGCTTTATTTCAGAATTAATTTTTTTACAAACGAAATTTGAAGCCATTTGAAAATGTACATCGTATAGTACACGTATTCTATGTAGTTCAGTTAAATATAAAAAAAGCATTGGTATATGTAAAATACCTATGAATACAACTGTTTTCTTGTACAATTTCGAGGTAAGTTTGTTTCTTTTTTTACCGTGAAAATTTTTAGAAATCGTGGTTTCATACCGTTATACTACTAAGTGTATACCTCAATTTTACTATATTTTTTTTTCAAAGTGGTTGATGCAACACTTTCACTTATGCGTAATCAACCAAAGCTATTTGAGGTTGTATAGGCTCTTAATAGTCACCATAAATACCAAATACAAAAACTTTCTGTAAATCAAAAGCATCAGTTATGCATATTTTTTAATCCATAAAAGTATTATAATGACCAACATCAATCTGTCTGAGGTGGACCACCACGATTTTCTATTTTTAGCTCCAGACACAAAAAGAGGAGATTTATAAATTTGTAGCCTTTGTCTGCTGCGTACCTGTGTGTCTGTATGTGGCTTCGTAGCCCTAAAACGGATGGACTGACCTCAAAGCGGTTTATTTGAAGTCTAATTTCATCGGGATGGTTCTTAAACCTACGTGTGATGGACAATTGTCCAGCCGTTTAAAGATCACCAGTTCTTTTCTCAGTATAGGGATCTCGGATTGACATGAAATTTGTTATATTAAGGAAATCCGATGACACTACAATGACGTGGTAATCTTGATCTGATACTGGAACCAGGGTCTCAGTTTTCATTTGACAGTAATTGTTTCGGACAAATGTCGGACGGTGAACAAGACAGCCGGCAGACTGTCCAACTCCTCAGTTACTTACAGTAGAACTATCGTGTGTCGGCTTATAAAATTAAATACAAACACAAAATTATTTATTTCTCCTCACACAGCTAAAAGACTACAAAAAGGTACTTATATTAGTTAGTTACATTTGTGGGAGACTGGAGCCTAAACTAAGTCTAGCCTGTATAGGTCTCCAGGCACCCACCCCGCGTGTAGTTTAACACATTAAGTGGATAATGGAGAGACAAGAGAGACTACATTAAAAATTATATTATACTAACCTTAGAGCCAAGTCCAAACTCATGGTACCACGATTTCGTTTAACCGTAGCAAAAGACCCTTTTATGGGGAACTGTACACGTTATTACAATAATATTCCGGAGCATATAATTAGATAAGATTATCATTTCCTGTATTTTTTAGTTTATTAATTTTAATTCAAAAGTCATATTACAAAATTGAAGACTGTGACAGACTAAGCATGGAAAGACGACATAGCACCAGGTTACACACAAATTAGATTCAAAGTGAATTCCACGCGTGCGTGCGTGCGAAGGGGCGTGCGTGCGTGCGTACGTGAGTGCGTGCGTGCGTGCGTGCGTGCGTTCATGCGTGCGTGCGTGCGTGCGTGCGTGCATGTGTGTGCATTGGACTCGACTAGTTGTTGACTTAAAGATTAAGACTTTATTGACTTTGTATCGCTTTTTTTAAATTTATTCAGGTGGCCCACGGGCACGAAGTATTAAATACATGCAAAATATTGTAGTTTATTTTAAATCAAAATATGTAGTACAATGGTTAACTTAATGTTAAATGTGTGCTCATTCATTACCGATGATTTAAACTCGTTTGTAAAAAACCATTAAAGAATAATTAAGAACACACGCTTCTTTGACCAAAGAACGGTTTTTCTATTTCGTATGATCAATCAAGAGTTTCCTGTAAAAAAGCGATGGCGGTATGGATGCACCAGGAGCCACGGAGGCAATGCGTCTCACTACCGCTAACAAATCTCCTTGAACATCATTTCACGATTGTTGATCTACAACGAGGTACTTATTATACACAGGTACAACGTCATGCAGCAGCGTAAACAACCCCCACAAGTCCGAAGACAGCACCCTGCCGAGCCTGGTGAAGGAGGTAGAAGACAACAGTCGATACAAGACTTTTGAGGCCAACGTTACTTTGCTGAAGCTACTCGTTAGTGATAAGAATGGAGTTAGCAAGTGAGTTGTATATTTTTTTTTTTGTAATATCAAGTGACGGGACGAACAAGTCGTGCGCCTGATGGTAAGCTAAATGCCTGCCCATAACAGTTGCAGTGCCACTCAGAGCTTCAAATCGCAAAGATCTGAGGGGCACTGCCACTGCGCCCGTTACCCTGAGACATAGGTTGACAAGTCCCATATGTTTGCAATTTCACCAGGACCCTTATATTCCTTTACCATCGTCATTCTATTATATCCCATCACAGTCTCTTTTAGGGAGACCGGAACCAATGAGGGTTGGAAACTTCACATGTTTTTCAAGTGTTGTGAACCGTCTTCAACATGTAAGCTTTATTATGATATTTTCTTCACCATCAGAGAGAAATATTTCTTTTAAACGTTCACAAATGTATGTAAGTTAATAAATAAAATCACAGGTACAGGTCGCCATAGGGCTTCGAACAGTTGACTTCTCAAGCAACCGTTTTCCCACTGAGCTAACACCGCCACTTTGTAAGAGTAGGTGAAGGACTGTTATAAGTTAAGAAATAGAAAGAAAACGATTTCATCTTGAAGTAGGGTTTTAAGATTTAAATACTCCTGTTAAAGGTCTGAAGTTTTCGACATGCTGCACTCTCGCGACGACAACCCGAGCCATATTGACCTGCCGGTCTTCCCCGAGGACTCGGAGGTGGCGAAAGTCGATGTTCCCGACGCCCCGAAGTCACAGGCTGAGTTCTTGCAAGGTGCGTTGCCAAAAGGCAAAACAGTTTCCAGTGTCTAATAAATAAATACACTTATGTTAATTTAAGAGTCTAAAAAACCTCAATTGGTTATATCAATCACTTTAGAAAAAATGTGTAGTAAAATTGAGGATATATACGGATTACTATATGCTGTGAAAATAACATTAATAAAAATTTTCGCCATATAAAAAAATCACAAACTTGCCCCTACATTTTATAGGTACTTTGCATATATCAATGATTTTTTTTTATATCAACTGTACTAAATAGAACACGTATGGTATACGATATGCATTTTCCAAATGGCTATAATTTCGTTTGTAAAAAAATAAACTGTGAAATAAAGTCAGTGTCCCTACCGCTCGATCCGAGCACAATTAACCGTATTAGTACGAAAAAAATTTAATTCTAGCTGAGGTAGTATAGACTTAATGTTAAATGGTCCAAAAATACCAAATTACTTTAAGAAATACCACCCCCCTAAGATTGTAACAATACAGGAGTTACTTGAAAATAGTCACGCAAGTTGCCGTCTAACTTCTGGATTTCTTTAAAGTTCCACTACTAATAATTTTCTTTACAGCACCAGAAGACGAAGTTTCAAAAGACAAGCCGAAGCTGATGCAATACTCGAGCGCTCGCGGCGAACCGATCGGTGCAGCCGCCGGCATTATGGTCGTGGTGACTTGCAGCATTGTGCTCTTGGGGTACACGATACTCGTAGTTTGGAGGAGGATTTACTTGTGAGTCGTTCTTTGTATTTATTAACCGACTTCAAAAAACAAAGGAGGAGGTTCTCAATTCGTCTATGTTATATGTTATGGAAAGAGGGTACCTCAGGAGTTGAAAAAAATATTCCTCTAAGGGTGGCTGACTATGGGATTGGAAAAACATAGACAAACTTTTACTTTTATTTTTTAATAATATCATGTGACGGGACAAACAAGTCGTACGCCTGATGGTAAGCTACACACCTGTCCATAACAGTTGCAGTGCCACTCAGAGCTTTAAATCGCAAAGATCTGAGGGGCACTGCCACTGCGCCCGTCACCCTGAGACCTAACTTGACAAGTCCAATGTGCCTGTAATGTCACCAGCACCCTACATGCACCCACTACATTCTGTGTCTTATAAAATATACAGCATGTAAGTTACGGGCATATACAGCTATTACGAAATATAGCATGCAAGAATTTTAAATTGAAAAGAAATTAAATAAATATATCTGCACAACATAAACTCTTACAAAACAACCCAGGATGTCTACTCTCGTTCTCTATCCGACATCCATCCGAAACAATTACTGTCAAATGAGTAATAATACTCGACCAAAATAAAAAAAAAACAATGCCAAGTATGAAGCTTCACTCGCGTCATGCTTTTAATTTGATCGAGTATTAGGTATTTATTGACAGTATTTTTTTTTTAAATGAATGTACAGGTCCATGAACAGTCGTTACGTTCAGTTTAAATACACACATCAAAAGTGTCTAGGGATCAAGTACCTACGTTTAAGAGTATTGCTGCAATTAGGGTTAATTATATTAACTTTTTTGTATCGCTATTGATACTTTTTAGTGAGTTTTAACATTTAAATAAGGAATATTGTTTAAAATTCGATATTAAGAAGAAAATCGATTGTCAATGTGGTTTTGTATAAAAATGAGTTATAGCGTTTTGACAAAATCATTACAATATCTGCATCGGAACCGAAACAATTTACATTATTATGGAGAGACGACATCATTTAACCCGAGAAGTGATGATGCGAGCCGTCGGAATGTTGGAAGCTGGTTCCAGGCAACGTGCTGTGGCTTTCACTCTTAACACTACACAGAGCGTCATAAGTCGCCTCTGGACGCGCTATCGCATGACCGGCAGCGTGGCCGAGCGACATGGAGGACGATCTCGCATCACGACTCGCAGACAGGACCGGTATATCCAAAATACTGCTCGACGGAATCGTACCATGACCGCCATGATGTTGGTTACGAGGCTCCACAGCTCCTCAGGCTTGCTAATAAGCGATCAAACAATCCGAAATCGTTTACGTGAAGTGGGTCTGCGATCCCGAAGGCCGCTCAGAGTTCCACCTATTGCACCCTGCAATCGCAGGACCCGTTTACGATGGGCTCGCGAACACAGAAACTGGGAGGAAGAAGACTGGCGCTATGTGTGCTTTTCGGATGAATCCCGCTTCGGTATGAGACCGGATACAAGACGTACTCGAGTTTGGAGAACATCTGGACGTCATGAACGTTTGAGATATTGTCAGGAAGTTCATCCATATGGTGGGGGAACAATAATGATATGGGCCGGTATTTGGATCGGCGGAAGAACCGATCTCATTTGGATCAGGGGTAACCTCAATGCTCAAGTTTACGCAGAGAGGATTGTTTCAGATGTTATCATCCCTTTGCGAGGCCAGTTGGGTGATTCATTTCAACTAATGCATGACAACGCACGTCCACACACGGCTAGAGTCGTAACACGCATTCTTGCCGAAGCTCGTATCAACGTTCTGCCGTGGCCTGCTCAATCGCCAGACCTCAATCCAATTGAGCACGCATAGGATATGCTTCAAAGAAGAGCTGTGCCGAGTATGCATACCGTACATACTCAACAACAATATTTTGACTTGTTACAAAACACATGGGCGGCCATTCCTCAAAGTGATTTTGATGAACTCATCTTAAGCATGCCAAATCGCTGTAATTGTGTGATTCGTGTTAATGGTGGAAATACAGATTATTAATTTTCTTACCTTTACAATAAAAATGAGCAAAATCATCATTTTCGCCATTTTTTTGTCATTTAATTGACGCCGTTAATTTGAGTTTTTTCCCACAATTTGCAAAAACGTCAATTTTAGTTTATTTTTATTAAATATAGGGGTAAGCGGTTAAATAAAACATAAGCATTAAAGTAAGAAGTCGTCCTGGAAGACTGGATTTGGTAAATATTGCTTAAATAATTTTTATTTCAAAAATATTCACTTGATCCCTAGACACTTTTGATGTGTGTATATCATATAAGTGGCGACAGAAGTTAACTTCATCTGAGTTAACATCATTGAAAATACTCATGCCTTGAAGTACGTACCTATACTCCTTAATATTTATCTGGATAGTATGACGCATATTCAACTTCGTGAACTAGTGATGGGACATGATCGATGTTAAAATATATCGCTATTATAATAACATAATAATAACTGAAACCAACTCGTATAAATCATTGATAGACAAACCAAAAAAAAATTTGAAAGACACAAAGGAAAAAGATATAGATTAACACGGTTTAAAAAGGATAATTAATACCACTGTGCAAACTGGACATTAAAATTAGAATCGTATATATCGTACGCGCCAGCCGCCATTTTGATTTACTGGAGGTGACAAAAAGTATTCTACATT